GGGCATGTATGAAACCTCGAATAAAAGGTTGTAGGTATATGTAAGCTTTATAAATATTGTATAATACATATGTATGAATTGAAAAATAATGACTAATAATAGTGATGATACTGATAACAATTATTGTGACAATGTCTAAGAGACTATTAATATGTTCTTTCTTCTTTGTGAACCTGAGGTTGGCGATAAAAGGTTCTTTGTCATGAGGCAGACCTAAAAACAGGGCATTATAATCTGAAAAGGAATAGCTGTGAGAGTTTTGCATATATTTTTATGGCAGGCAGAGCGGTTTCTATAATCTGACAAGGATAGAGGGTATGATAGGGCTCCCCAGAGGTGCTGTTGTTAAGGGGTGTCCCTCAGATGCCACTGGTCTTTATAGGGGGATGATGGCCTCTGCTATCTTCAGGGAGCACACAGGCAAGCAACGTGTTGGGTGAACACCAGCTCCAGGGAAAATGAGCAATCTTGGGCAGAAAATGAAGGAGCAGGAGATCTGAAGCGAGGTGTATTTCACGCTGGCACATTGATGGCTTTTCATCTCTTTAAACATATATTTTGTTCACAAGGGACCAGGTAAAGGAGAGGTTGTATGATTTTTGGAATACAGTCTGTCTTAAAGTGGGCATATCTTGTAAGCAATTTTTATAAGTGGGAAGAATGCAAATTTCAAGTAAAACTGTAAATCCAAGGTGAAGCCATCGAGCCCAGTGACCCAATTTCCTAAGGATATTAGAGATTTTAATAACCAAAAACCACTGGATGGCATACCCTTCTGGGGGGTTACTCGCATTTCTATAAGCGACAGCTACTGCAGTTAGATGCAGTAACTGTGGGATGTGGTGGGGGTGGTGGTGCTGGAGGGGGGGTGTNTTCAGGAGTGTCCCTTGTGTGGGTTATGTGTATTCTCCTGTTATAGTTGAGCCTTGGTTGCTATTGGCATGTCAGTGGGTGGGATTGACCCTCAGGCTGATTGGCTGTGGGGTTTGGCCACATCCACAGCTTACAGGCTGTTATGCAGGAGGCTTACCCCACTGAGTGGTATTTGCCCCAGTGGGCTCTGGTATGTGTTGATACCACCTTTGGGTGTGCCACTTGTGGGGCTAATTGGGTGATGCTCCAAAGCCAACCTCCAAGTATGTTGGTTCTGTGGTCTCTTGCGAGGGGCTCCAGTGCAGGCCCAGGTGGCCATTGCCTGTGACTGTTCAGGGCTTCCTGGTAGGAGCTACAAAGTGACCTGCAGTTGTTTGCTGCCTGTGCTAAACCTGGAGGTGCATGAGAGAGTTCACGCTATGAACTGAGGGTGTCTGTCTGCCACCGGTACTGGACTTGGGATAGCGCTGCAAAAAGCCAGGAGACCCCGAGGTCTGCTGCCACCTGCCGGTTCCCTTAAGGTTCAGCCACTGATAGAGCCTCGTGATATGCAAGTTGGATGAGGCAGGGTCCAGGGAATCACTAGAGTGGGAAGAATTGTGGTCACCAGGTTAATGTAAATTCTGGTTTGGTGCCAGTTCTGCACCTGGAACTATTTAACAAAAGCCTCAGAGCACACCGAGGCCAGTTGCCCGACCCCCCCCCCCTCCCAGGGGCCTGCCAGGCTCTGATAGTTTTCCAAGAAAAAGTGCAATGTGGTCAGGGCTGGCTGTTCCTGGAGAAAGTGCCTCCAGCGTTGGGGGAATTGGGTGTGTTGGAGTTCCAGTGAGTCAGCAGGGTGGAGCCTAGATGCTCACCAGGCCAATGAAATTCAGATTTGGCTGAGGTGGGGGCGAGCTCAACACAGAAAAGATGGCGGCCGCCTACCAGCTGCATGGAAGGAGGACCTCACACAGAGAAAATGCCGACTACACTCCAGTTCTCCTCTAGAAGCCACACACCGTAGTCTGCCCCCCGTATGTCTCCTACGCTTCCTGAGTCACCATCCCTCCACTGGAGCCCAAGGTGAGTACCTGTGAAGGCATGAGTCTGTGCGAGGGTCGTTTAAGAGGACGTCTGAATTTCCCACAGTCTTCCATCCTACTCAGGTGGTTGGAATCTCCACTGTTTTTCACAGCCAGGGGGCTCCTTTTCCTGGCACCAGTATGCTGGGTTGGGGAGTGCAGTGTGTGGGGCTGGGGTCCCTCACTCCTCCGGGGTGGAGCTGGAAATTTCGTGGCCAAGATATCTCTCCTGATACTCAAATGCCAGTGGAGGTTTGGGGCCTGTCCTGCATCTGTGCTCCTTCTACCAGTCTCGGCGTGGCTTCTTTGTTATGTTTTTGGTCATAGGACTTTTGTTTGTCTAGACTTTAGATCATTCTCCAGGTTGATTGTTCTATAATTCAGTTGTAATTTTAACGTGTTCATGGAAGGATGTAGGCACTGTGTTTATCTACTCTACCATCTTGGATTTTTCTTAAAAACTGTGTTTTCATAAACATTAAGTGACAAAGTTAAAAAAA